CGTTGTTACGCCCTGTCAACTCTTTATTGGAGGTCAGCTGTTTTAGGATACTTGATTCACCAGCTTCCTTTCCTTAGCTCATAAATCAACCCCCATCTCCGAAGCAGACGATAGACGAACAGACTACGACTTGGCATTCCTGGTGAAAAGGTCCTGAGTTCTGTCCTCCTCTCCACCATCACTTTTCTCAGAATGGGAGGCCCAGCGAACCCATTCGCTGGCCTCGCCCAGAAAGATGGAATGACAGCTCCGGCGAGTCGAGGACGCGGTGGATCATTCAGTCGGGCTACTCCCTACCAATCCAAATCAACCAATGTGCCTCGCGACGCCAGAACCCGTGGTCGAGGCCGAGGCGTCTCATCGGCAATGAGATCTCTCCGTGGTCACGGCCGAGGCGCTGGTCCCGCGACTAACACCTGGCGCAAACCGGACCCAAATGCGGCTCCCGCAGGAGCTGCCGCATCACCTTTCTCCCAGTTGAAGCAGAGCAAACCTTCTTCTTCTCCATTTGGTGGACAGGCTCCGCAGCAGAAAACGGCATTTCCTAGTGTCGCGAATGGCTCGTCCGGTGCGTTTGGGGCACCGTCTGGATTTGATGGGAGCATGGTCGATTCTAGTAGAGACCCTCGACTACGCTTTCCGTCCAATGGCATGAATGGCTCTGCTGTGCCAGTGGAAGACATGGCGGTTCTGAACAGTTACAATGACCGATATGAAAGGGTGAGACATTCTTTCACAGTGAATTTTCACCAGTGGTCAGGCATTCCGAACTGACAGCTTGCAGCTCAAGCTTGATAGGGCGAAGCAAAGGGAACAGGCAATCAAGAAAGGGCAGATGGCGGATCCTAATCAACCTACTTCCCTGAATCAAGCAATTACACCCGTTGGTACCTGCACGAGCATGTGTCCCGAGTTTGAGCGGGTTGAGCGCATCGTCCAGAAGATGGTAGACAAGAGCGAGAAGGTACAAACAGATGATCTCGCGATATGATCATCCAAGAACTAACTTTCTACAGTTTCTCCACCCTGCGACAAACACATTGCAGAATATGGAAACGAAAATGCTCAAGCGCTTCAGAAGATCAGCTGCCGGTTACGACGAACAACTTCCTTCTGATATTCGCACACCGAAGGCACTCCTTCAGTCAACCAATTATCTCATTCGACATGTCCTTGGTGGTTCTGAGCCTCTTGGTTTGATTCACAAGTTTGTCTGGGATCGGACGCGATCGATTCGTAACGATTTCTCCGTCCAGCAGCTCACCCAGGAGGACGACGTGAAGATAGCAGTCACATGCCTGGAGAGAATAGCCCGCTTCCACATAGTATCCCTTCACTTACTCTCTAGTCCTGCGAACGAAGAGCCTTTTGACCGCCACCAGGAACGAGAGCAACTCAACAATACCATGTTGTCGCTGATGTACTATTACGACGACAATCGAGGCCGCATCGCGTTTCCCAATGAAGACGAGTTCCGGGCTTATTACATTATCTTCTCCATTCACGACCAGCGACCGGATTTGGAAGCTCGTGTCCAGAAATGGCCTGCAGAGCTACGCAGTTCGCCTCGGGTTCAAGTAGCCCTTGAATTGTTCGCCGCTGCTGGCAATACGTGGGAGTATCAAGGCACCCTAGATGCCAAACGGCCCAACGCCATTGCACAGGGCTTCTACACACGCTTCTTCCACTTGGTTGATTCTCCAGCTGTGTCGTATCTGATGGCCTGTGTTGCCGAAACCTATTTCAACCACATGCGCCAAACGGCTATCCGTTCAATATGGAAAGGATACTGTCGTTATCCCGGGTCTCAACAGCACAAGAATGACGAGTGGACCGTCGACGAACTGACAAAAGTCTTACACTTTGATGATGACAGCCAAACAATCGAATTCTGTGAAGAGCAGGATCTACAGTTTGCTGAAAATGCTCATGGTAATCTCTATCTCAACTGGGGCAACCGTCCGGTTGACTCGATTGGTACGTGTGATCTTGACGACACTCTCGCCTTCTCCTTCGTTCATTGGCTCTGTTTCCCACTACCGGAATGGGGCAACTATATTACCCAACTTTCCAAAGTCGGCGATATCTGACTTCGACTGACACATTGAAACCATAGCCTTCCAGCCGTCTTCCGAACACTCATTCTCAGAAAAGTATGTCGAGTCGAAGCGAGCAGGCAGAAACATGGTTGCGATCATACTCGGCTTGAATATAAAAGAAGCGGCAACTCTAGGGATGATCGACAGCTCTCTTTTGCCGCAGCGCTCACTGGCACTTCCAGCCCCCGAGCTTGGAGCACCCACAGACGACGATGCCCTCTTTGTGAGCGACGACGACAATGAAATGCGACCGCCAATCATCCAAACAAACGGTAATGTCTTCCAAGGTGGTGTCTTTACTGAGTCGCCCGCATCAGCTTCAAGCCTGCGCAACGCATTCAAAGAACTTTCACAGAGTACAACAAATGCCGAGGCGACATCTACGCAAAGCATTTCTCCGAGTTCCTCGATTGCACAAGTGACCAGTACAGCCCAAACTTCCGAGCCGACCAAGACCTTTTCTTCTTTGTTCTCTGGCGCTAGGTCAGCCGGCGCTGCAACGGCGCCCACAGTTGCGCCTTCTAACCCATTTACCAGCATATCTTCGCCCTTTACGCCGTACAAGACGCCGGACACTGAGCAGAAAGCTCCAACTTTGCCTGCTGCGTCCAGTAGTCTGCAAACAGCCTCGATCTTTTCGACAGGAGCATATAATTCTATGCCAGGAAAGCCTGACACAACCTCTGCATCAACCACTCCTCAGTTCAAATTACCAAACCTCTTCCAACCTTCTACAGCACCTACCGCTTCACCATTCGGCCTCTCCCAAACATCGTCGATATTTAAACCTGACCAGGCTCCTGCCCCGACTGCTACCCAGCCGTCGACAAGCGTTTTTGATACTGGCAAGCCATCCTCTGCTCCTCAGGTTTCGAGTTCTGTCTCCAGTCTCGCTGGTCAGAATGTTCTGCCCGGAAGAGCGGAAGCTGAGAAACCTCAACCAAGTCTCTTTAAGCCTGCGGAGACCACGTCCGCACCATCTCCGTTTGCGCATGCAAGTAGCCTGTCCGCTCCAGCGAAGGAAGGTACGTTCTTCTGTCCTACGGCATCGTCCTGAGTATAGAATCATTGTGAATTCTAACGATCTCGACAGACTCAGCGGCAGCCGTCCATCCTGTTCAATCAACGAATTTTTTCTCATTTCAGAAGCCCGTGGAAATAAAGGCACCCGAACAAAAATCAGCCGACACGATTGAGAGTTTGAAGACTCCACAGGAGGCGGTTGTTCCGGAACATACTGCATCAGTAGACGAGCCTGTGCCGCCTCGTGTGGAAGATGTCGCTGAGCAGCAGCAGTTTCGTCCATTATTCGCAAAGCCTAGCTCACCTGAACCTGTCAGGACCACATCGCCTCCTCCTGCAGAACCTAGCACGTTAGCTGCTGTGCAAGAGAACGTTTCCGTCTCCGTTTCCCCTGAGCCGACCGCAAAGGAAGAAGAAGCCTCAGGTGAGTCGCACTCTGACCACATCCATTTATGTTGCTTTTACCTGCGGGTTTATCTGACATGCATATAGCATCTGCAGATGAACGACGCCTTGCGTGGCTAGAAACCCTGAAAGAAGCGGCTGATAAAAGGCGACAAACCTCGACAAGTCGCAAGCGCATTCTCCACGAAGAAGATGAACAAGAACTGAAACCGAGCGAGCCAAAGGCACCCAAAATAGCCAAACCTGAGGCTCCTACTCCACGCAAAGTATCTATGGCACTGTCTTCAATTAAACCTCTTCCCAAACTTCCCATCCTGGAACAGATTGAGGCCATGACAGCTCGGAAGCCTGCAAAGGAGGAGAAACCTGAAGTTCCAAAGCCGCGCCAAGTTGACGAAGATGAACTCCTCCTTTCCGCTGCCCGAATTGCCGCAGAATCACTCAGGAGCGGGCCGAGGCTTCTGGACCATTGGTCGACATACCCTGAGCCTCGAAGCTCCGTTTTCAGCCCGCGCAGCAGCTTATCATCTTCGCACTCTTTCTCCCGAAGTCAGTCGCCGAATTCATATCAAGTCAATGGGTACGATGTTGCTCTTGCGCCTGATAGAGACTTGGGACTCGGTCGTACCCTGTCTCGGACCGAACAGAGAATTCGCCTTACCGGGGGCAAAGGCCTAGCATATAAGCCGCTGAACTTCACACCGGAGAAGAAAAGCAAAGGGCCAGGCAAGAAATAGGAGATGTCATTAGGACTCGCCATCTCTTTCATAGTCTCCAAGGCTCATGTTTCGCCTTGCAACTTTGAAGCTTGAAAATGCCTGCTGAACAGCCCTTGGCGATCTTCTATTTTTCTGTATACTTTTTTTCTTTTCAGAGAATCATCTCAATTGCATTATGCGACGGCGTTGTCTGCGGGTTTTGGTCTTCTGATACTGTTACGGAACTCTAGTTCAGGGATGTATCTGCCACATTTTGGAGTTTAGCAGCCAGGCGCTGGAAGTGTGTTGTCGTACATAACTGCATCATCAGAATACCCTATATTCCTGGAATGAAATATTTGTTCAAGAACAGTGAAACACAAGACCTGAAAATTAACCAGATTGAGTGGATCAATAGCGATTGTGCTGGTGCCTCAGGTATCTCCGAGTCACATGATCTCATATTCGCTTTCCAATGGGCGGACATCTTGTAATAATTAAGAACTTCCAAAACAAAGCATATCTAAACTATTTTGCTGACTTAACTGCTCAGAAATGGACAGTTAGGTCAATAATTTTGCAAGATTCTCTCAACCAAGGTCCACGGTATTTTTCATGTTGGACTACTCCAACGGCATTGCGCCTCTTCCTCTCTGACCACCAGAAGTGCATGGTACCTCACCCCAGGCATCCCACTACCACCTCGGATCTGACCAGAGCCAGGAATGCAAACTTCTTGTGCTTAGCGCATGCATCTAGACATCAGCACCGAGGAATGCGAATCGCCACATTACAATTCGCCCCCAGGGTGGGCGACGTCGAGGGCAACATCAAAAGGGCCAACGAATTGCTGAACAGCGGCAACGTGATTGGCAGCGCTCAGGCCGGGATCGAGAGCCTGAAGCCTGACCTCCTGGTGTTGCCGGAACTGGCTCTGACGGGTGAGTAGATAGGAACAGGAGGCAGTAGTGGACTTCTAGTTGTGATGTCCTACCCGACCGGTAATGGTGACATGTTCTGTTTTACTAGGGTACAATTTCCCCTCGCTGGAAGCCATCCGCCCGTTCCTTGAGCCAGCGGGGAAGGGCGTGTCGGCTGCGTGGGCCCGGGAGACGGCTACGCGCCTCAGGTGTAAGGTGTGCGTGGGCTATCCCGAGATTGAAATCGAGAGGGTCACCGCCGCAGCAGCGGGTGGGGAACGTAGCGCGCAACTGCAGGAGAAATGCTACAATTCCTTGCTTGTTGTGGATGAGGAGGGGGAGGTGCTGCTGAACTACCGCAAGACGTTCCTCTTCTGCACGGACGAGACGTGGGCAGCCGAAGGCACGGCGGAGCGAGGCTTCCACGAGCTCGTCTTCAACTCTGGGGTTCCAGGACTGACGTCTAGAATGGCTACGTCGTTTGGGATATGTATGGATATCAACCCTTATAAATTCGAGGCGCCCTTCACGGCTTGGGAGTTTGCGAATCGGGTCCTCGACTCCAAGTCCCAGCTGGTAATTCTGTCGATGGCCTGGACGACGTTTATGAGCCGAGAGGAGCTTGATGCGCTGGCGCATAAGCCGGACTTGGATACGTTTAATTACTGGATACAGCGATTCTGGCCTCTAGTCAAGGAGAAGATGCGGCACGATGTTGATATAGGGTTTGATGACCATGAAGCCGAATGTGCAAAAGAGAAGAAGATTGTCATTGTCTTTGGGAATAGGTGTGGAGAGGAGGGATCGGTGCGCTATGCGGGGACGAGTGCGATTGTCGCTATTACGCAGCGCCCGCGGGTGTTGCAGGATGGCGAGGCTGGGGAGGAGTTACCGTTCGATGTGAAGATCCTTTGCTGGGATATGCTGGGTGCGACGACCGAGGGTATCTGCTTTGCTGATACTACAGCGGATCCGAAGACGGTGTTTGGATTGGTTAAGGCGTCGCAGAAGTGAGGTCTGCAGCTTCTTTTGGTGTTTCAGAGCATACAGTCTGGGGTATTTTGATGGTGTACTTGATGAGACATCTACTCTTGAACAATGGTAAGGAAGACTTCGACATGGGTCAAACAGAGAATTGCTGCCATCTGGTTTCCAGACTCTGGCTGCTCGATGTGTTGGAATGCTTGATATAATTGCAGAACTGTCCAAATCTACGCAATAATACCTGGATTTCTGATTCTCTGATGTGAAGCAGTCTGATCTTGATAGTGTTAATCTTGCCACAGTCGGCAACAATCATGTGAATGGTTAATAAACATCCTCCTCCTTGATCCATGTGACGATGGAAGCGCCCATTCCTAGACCTCTAATATGGGAATCTATCGCTTTGTAGATTCTAGACAAGCATGCGCGAGCAATTCATCTACATCAGCCCCCGGAAGAGAACAAATACCTACCCGCTGATGCGAGACTGGCGTCCCATACCCTACTTGGACGGACACAGATGGCCTATCTCATGACCGACTGATCAGCAATCCATCAGATGGTCGGTTATCAAGCCAAACAAGGGAGGCGTACTATAAAATGCAACCTTCAGATGGAAGCTAGAGCAGATTGATCTTCGGGAGTAAGCTTGAAGACTTTGATCGACACTGCGGAAAGACCATCCGCTTTAAGTGGGAAAGTTTGGTTGCAATGCGGATGTGCATGTGACACTGAAGGTCAGATGGAGTCTCATTTGAGGCAGAATAATGAAACTGACTACTCCGTAGGTATTCGCAGTTAGACAATAGTCGAACAAGTCAATAAAGGCATCGCAAGCCGGCATGAGCCATAGATATCAGGTGAAGCAAGTTCGGATTGTGTATCGGAGGATCTGCAACTACGCAGCGTCGGTCGAGAGACCCTCAGAGACATGGCATGGCATGGCATGCATCAGCGTACATCCCGCTACTGTACGATGGCGCTCTCCAGATGGACCGTGCTCCCCCAGGAGGAGCCTAAAGGAGGGTCGGCCCGACCGGGATGAGCACTGAAGGAGAGAGGGTACTCCGTACTCAAGGTAGTCTTCGAGGCCAATAGTGGTCGTTGAAAACAGTTACGAGTCAGTGAATTCCGCTAACTCTGGTGGATGAGGCGTGGTATCCTCCATGAAGTGCTCATATGTCCGGTGGATAGTCAGGGAACTTGCACGCAATCATTTTTCAGTTGTTTTGACTTGTTATCATGCTGATTTGGCGATAAATACCTTAACAAAAGGGTTGAAGAGTCACACGTGATCCCGGGTCAACCCCTCCTCCGGCAACCGCTCAGGGCAATCCGCGCAACCAATCAGCGATGAGAAAAGGGACATCGGCTGAGGAGGGGGCACGGGATTGGAGCACATGACATCCAAAAAGAAAGAGGGAGGGTAGTATGAAGGAGATAGTGGGAGAGACATTGAATGCCAGACATGAGGTAACTCACCTTCATTCATAGCGTGGGAAGAAAAGTTCTGATGATGATATAGTCGAGGTGCAGCAACGGAGTTGTTGCTTCCGGCCCATGTCAGGTGACTTTTCTACGCTTCTGGTCGCTACTCCTCGCCGTACCACCGCCGCCTCGACTCTCTGCTCCATTATTGTCCCTCGCCACGTGAGCGCTTCTCTCTACTACTCGACTCTACTCCTCCAAATATCCCTTCTTTCTATTGTAAAAGCCGCCACTTCTTTCTGTTCGTTTTCTATTCCGGTCCGGCCGTTGTCTTTACATTGGACGTTTCGATATTGACTCTTTCCTCGCGATCAAATTTGATTCTTGGTCTTCGCGATCGAACTACGATATACCTGCCTCTTGTTGTTGCCCGTGGCAGGTGACTTGCTGTCAGGTGATAGACAGACCATCCCAAGGTACAGAGAGCTCTCTCCTTCTATTCGCGACCTCTATCTTTCATTGCATCTTCCCTCTGCCATACTCCACTATTTCAGGAGCTTCCATAAGGCCTCAGAAGCATCTCACCATGCCCTTCTCTGGACCTCTGCCTGGTCCGTCGTGAGCCGGACGAGGTTGATTCTGTGATGCTATTCTCTCTTCCCCTGTTACCTCGGTCGCAGAGCCGTCATGACGCGTTTCTGATGTCGACAATGTGACCATGAGTGTTTGTTTTTGATTGATGCTTTGCGCATCAACTGTCTTCTCAGCGCATATTGATTCCACAAATCTAACTGTATCTTGCATGTTCCTGGGATTTGGTAGTCATCTAATGTCTGTTTTGATGCTATGGTGCGGAGATCAGCGCGTCCAGCCTTACGCGTCTTGGTTATATTCACTTCTCACTTCTTAGCACATCAATATTTTTTTTTTTTTTTTTGGTGAATGTTTACTCGCGAGAAAATTATCTCTATTCTTCCTCACTGCCCTGCATTCCTTGTTTTCCTGACTGTTACACTCATTTCTTTACTGGGCTTGCCGACTCACCAAAACTGGACCACAGGGAAGTTTCTAATGCTATACCTTTGATAGCTGGCTGAGGAAACTTGTTCTCGAATCAATACATCTGCTCTGCCTAACGGGTTGGTTTGGTCCTGGATACGCACTGTCATGGCCGTCGCTGACTCGGCCAACCTGCAGGGTGACCGCCTCACATCCTACATCATGTCTGATCAGTCGTTGGGTGCCTCGGATGGCAATATCACCAACAAGCGAAAGCGCGAAGGTGATGACAGCACGGGCCCGGATCCTCAGCGCCTGAACCGCTCTTCCAATGGAAGTACTGGCAGCATCACTGCCCCTGATGCTCAGAACAACTTCGCACACAGCTCTCTCGCTTCTTATGATGCTCACGGTCTCCCTACTTCTACTTCGGAGCTCAACATCGACCAGCAAATCCTCCAACATGTCGGACCGCAGAACGGTATCTCCGATGAGAATGCTCTCACTGCCAAAGCCGCATTGGCCGCGCACAATCCTCAAAACAAATATCCTCCTCCCCCCGAACCTTCTTTCGACGCCAATAATCTCGCTCACGGATTGACATTCGGCGATGATATGGGTCAGGCTATGGGCCCTACTCATGGACACAATTCGACCGCCGCGGCTGTCTACGCCGCTCGTGAAGCCCAGAGTATGAACCAGAAACCGTCTGTTGGCTCTCCTGAGTGGCATCAAATTCGCAAGAACAATCACAAAGAGGGTAAGTTGCGGGAGTCTTTTCATAAGGTGAAGCCATCTGATCCGATTCTAGTGGAACGTCGGCGTCGTGAAGCTATAAACGAGGGTATTAATCAGTTAGCGCGTCTGGTCCCCAACTGTGACAAGAACAAAGGCGCCATCCTACAGCGCACAATCGAGTACATCTGCCAGCTACACGATGAGAAGAAAACAATGAGCGAACGGTGGGAGCAAAACAACATGACTACAAGCCATGCTATCAACGAGATCAGTGCTCAGAATTCCAAGTTGAAATTAGAAGTCAACCGTCGTGGGGATATCGCACAGAAGTGGCTTCAGCGCTGTCGCGACGCAGGTCTCGAATTCGACGACTACAACGACGCCGAAGAGCTCGAGCCTCTCGAGGTCGACCAAGGCCAGGTCTGAAGTCTGAATTGCGTTTCTGGGTAGATGACTTTTCCCTCGGTCGATTTTCCCTTTGCTCTCTATCTCATGGTCATACATGTGCTACGATCTGTTCTTGTTCGGAGGCTGAGATTCCAACATACCCGCTCTTTCTTCTCCGTTGGTTCGTTTTCTGTTTCATTTCATTCTCACAAGCCCGGCGAGAAAGCACCGTGATTTCGGCCCGGTTGCAGGCGCCACATTGATCTTTTTCTGATGCCTTCCATCAAGTCACCGCCTCTGGAAGAAGACAGGTGACCAATGATCTACAACCTTAATTTGTCGAGCCCGGAGTCGTTTCCCCGGTGTTTTCGTGATTTCTCGTTTCTGTTGTCTGCCTTCTTCCCAGTATCTTTCACTCTGTATGTTATTTTTTCTATCTTAAGGGTCGGCGAAACCAGGGTTGGGAATGGAGCCTGCGATATCGCGTTATGGGAATTGCAATTCGATCTCTCAGATTTACACTGGGCCATTTCGTAGTTTGATGTTGTTTTTCCGAAAGCCAGATAACAAAGCACTGTTCGTGGAGGATTTGGTTCCCTCGTCGTCATTTATGAGCTTGGCACATGATGCAATTGCAAGGGTAGTCACGAGAATCTGTTGCTTTCACTGATCAGAAGAAAACCTCAAAATGTTTCATATTGTCCAGATATATACAGAGAAGAGAAAGTAGAGGCGCTTATGAGATGCAGACCGGGCACTGCAAATACCATGCCCAAAACCTACTGCTCTTCCGCGACAAACTGAGAACGTAGTAACAGCGGCTGAGAGAGCAAGAGAAAAGACGAAGACAGGACCTTCCGGCTAACCTACTCGGACCATCCCCACCGCCACTCGATAGTCTGCGATCTACAGATTCGACGAAGCGGTAACAGACGACCCAGAGCTGCACCCGACATTCTTCACCGTAAGGGTAGCGCCGGACTGGCCGGTCACCCTCACGTCAACGGTATCCGTTCCAAACCCACTGCTATTCTCGAAGAAGTTGTAGTAGGTTCTCGTGGTCGCCTGCCAGGTGCTCCCGCCGTCGGTGCTGACCTCGAGCTTCTCGACGGGCTCGTTGGCGTTGACGACCTGCATGGAGAACCAGTAGGCGGAGGTCCCCTCCTTGTTCTTGAGGACGAGGGGCGAGTCGATGTCACAGGAGACGTAGGACCAGGTGATGTCGATAACGCCCTTGGAGATGTCGGCTAGCTCGGCGAAGGCGTTCTGGAAGAGGTCGAGGTGGTTGGATTCGCATTCGGGGCATTGGTCGACGATCTGGGTGAGGTTAGCTGGGGAGGTTGTATGATGGATGGGGGAAGAGAACGTACCATGGCTTTGATGGAGTTGCCGTTGGGTCCTGTCACGGAGACACAGGCGCCGCATTGGGCGGCGTCGTCCCAGCGGGCGGCTGAGAGGGCGGTTCCGAAGAGGCCGGAGGGAAGCGTGTAGCCGGCGAACGAGCAGGTTCCTCCGGAGACGTTGCCGCCGTAGAAGGTGGCTTTGCCGGAGTTGGAGGAGCCTGATGAGGAGCTGCTGCTGGAGGATGCGGCAGCGGTGGTGGTGCTAGGAGCGGCTGTCGTAGGCTCAGCTTTGGTAGCTGAGGAGACGGCAACGACGGCATTGGCTGTAGAAACAATGACTTGTTCCTCGGTAGAGGAAGAAGTGGGCAGAGCGGATGTCGTAGGCTCAGCTTTGGTAGCTGAGGAGACGGCAACGACGGCATTGGCTGTAGGAACAATGACTTGTTCCTGGGTAGAGGAAGAAGTGGGTAGAGTGGATGTCGTTGACGACGAGGAAGAGGAAGCAGCGGGAACCACAACAGCCTCGTGCGTCTCTACAGGGGTGGTCTCGGCGACAGTAGGCACAGTGGCAGCAGCAGAAGTGCTGTCGACAACCACGGGCGAGGTGGACTGGGATGGAGCCTGTGAGGTCACAGTGGCCGTCAAGGTGGTGGTCGAAGACGAGGAGATAGTCGTCGTGGGCTTCACCAAGGGAGTCGCGGACGAAGTGGCTTCAGCAGTCACTGTGATGTAGTAGACGCTCATGGTGTATCCAGGAGGACACTGAGCTTGAGCGCGCTGGAAGAGAGGGCTTGCAGAAACCGATGCGGCCGCGCCCAGAGCGGCAACGCCGAGAGTGGTGAGACGCTGATATCTCATTGTTGGATGTCGATATGTCTTGAAGACGATGAAGCTAGAATGGAAGAAAAGAGTGTAGGGTCTGTGCTGGACTGCTGTTCAGACGCAAAAGAGTGACTGGAGACTCTGCTCCTGTTGCAAGTAATGAATGGACACCCGGTCTCGGATCCCAGGAATGAATGTAGTTGCTGTTCCAGACAGAGAACTCAAAGAGTGACTTGAAGAGATGTACAAAGAAAGAGAGCAAGGAGAAGAGAGAGAAAAGGATATCAATCCAGAAGAAAAGGAGGGACAGGAAAGTCCTCCATGGGCTGAGTGACCGGTCATCTTGCCCGAGAGTCATTCGACGGGATTGTGAGACAATAATCTAACGCAATATAATGAAATGAACCATCCAGGGAGAATGCAGGCCATTAGCGCCAAACGTTTAATGAATCGGAAGCCCTAAAAGACCCAGGCATTTGTCGGGTTGGAAGCCACTGCTCGCTAGCGAAATGAGATCGCAAAGTCTGAAACGTCCGGCGTGGATCGCAAGCAACGAAGCTCACAAAGCTGTTGAAGCTCGCAATTCCGGAGCCCATCCGATGGAAGAGCAGGTGAACGGCCCGTTATTTCGCTGGTTGCATCGCATCGACCATTTTCTCCGCAGTCTTAGCCTTCGGGTCCTCGGGCAATGCGAAATTAAACGACTGGTCTAGCCCCATCGCAGACAATAAGCACCAAGGACTCAAGGAGCCCAAGGATGACAGGATCCGGTGGAGACAGCAGCAGTCACAGAGCATGTAATTATTACTGCGTTCAAGTGGCACTGATGATCTGATCTGGTCTCTGGAGGAGCATCAAGAGACATATTTGACATCCTCATGTGTACCGGTCAACGACTCGACGAGGTCTCGATGTGATGCCAATTCGTCTGATTTAGATCAGAGGTCAGCCGAGATGCATCATCCATTTGCACCAAAACTTCACTGATAAGGACTCTTCTCGGCGAAAGAACGAGTGGGTCGTCTAACTCGTGTCACTCAAAGCGACTGAGCTGCTTTCCTTGGGACGGTAGCCAATCGAGTGCACTCTGCGTCGCGAAGACACCGCTTGTCTTGTCTACTGCTTGTGCTGGTATGGTTCTCTTTCACCATTCACTAGATGAGTCTGGAAAGATCGAAGTGAAGCCTGGAACCTTACCACCAAGCAATTCGTCATGAACAGGTAAATTGAAGGTATTCATGAGATTTCACCCTATGCCAGTACGACCTTCACCAGACTCTTGCCGCCTCTATGTCGAAAGATATTGAGCCCGCGCAGTCAATATGACCTTTTCTAGGCTAAAGAGAGATTGACTGGGGGATCTGGGCTCTCTGGGTGATTTGTATCAAGGCATTCGTGGTCAAGCCAGAGGATAATGAATACTAACCGACCATTGGTGCCTGCATCTCAAGGGCAATAGTATCCTCAGAGCCTAATTTGATTGTGAGTTCCGTCGCTATCCCTATCTACCTGTCTGTTTACTCAACCATTCCCCATACTCTCTAACACCGTCTCGAACAGACGTGAACTGACCTCGAAACCCTATCCGCCGCAACCCCGAAACATCCGAACAAGTAGAACTCTGGTATCGTCCCTTGAGATGTTCCGGGAACGGTATATATTCAATACGGCCCTTGACGCCAGTGACCTCCAGGACAGCATTCGCCGCATCGACGAACGTATCCGCGCGTCCCTTGCCAAGGTCAAAAATCCCCGAGAACGACGGGTTCTCCAGAAAGAACATGTTGACTTTGACCACGTCGCCGACATAGACAAAGTCCCGCTCCTGCATCCCGGCCTTGTACCCATCGTACTCCCCAAACAGCTTGACCACGCCGTCCTGCCGCAATTGCTGGTGCATCTGGTACACGATGCTTGCCATGGGCCCCTTGTGCTGCTCCCGGGGCCCGTAGACGTTGAAGTACCTGAGTCCGACGACTTGCGATGTTGCGTTGCCCCTGCGGCCCTCGATATACTGGTCGAAGAGCATTTTCGAGTAGGCATATACGTTGAGCGGGGATGTTGCTCTGGTGCTGTTCTCCGGTAGAGGGCCAGAGGTGCTGTTGCTGCCGTAGACGGCAGCAGAAGAGGCGTAGATAAGTCGTGTGTCGTGACGCTGGCAATAGTGGAACAATTCCTTTGAGAAAGTGAAGTTGACATCAAGCATGTATTTCCCGTTTGTCTCTGTCGTCGACGAGCAAGCCCCGTTGTGGAAGATCACACTTGGAGGAGGCGTGAGGCTGTCGTTGGCGATGGCTTGCCGGAATTCGTTCACGTCGAGGTAGTCTGCGATCTCACAGTCTGCGATATTGATGAATTTGGATCCGTCAGTCATGTCATCGACGACGATGATGTCCTTTCGGCCGCGCTCGTTAAGTGCTTTGACAATGTTGGAGCCGATGAACCCTGCTCCGCCGGTGACGACAATCATGTTGACTCTCTTCTTGTCTTCTGTTGATGAAGGGTTTCCTTTAGCTTTGAGGATGATACTGAGACTCAGCAGGTGCGACTCGGTGTGCAATCAGGCGAGTCAACGAGTGATCTTATACGCCCTTGATTGTGATGAGAGAAACTCGCAGGCTACGTGGCTCCATATAGACACGTCGGCTGTTGACTGTCTACCGGTATCGGTGATTACCGAAAGGTCGATCCGTGTGTCTCTACATAGAGCATCCTGGCTGATTCAATGTTGTCATATGTATTCTTTTCTCCGGACCGGCGAGCTTACCGATTCTACAGTAAGGCACTTCTTTGTGTGACGTGAATATCGTATATTGTTTATTCCTCATTATTCACGAAGTTTATCACTCCCATCTTTGCCTTATTGGGATCATACAGTGCCTGGAAAACGGTAAGATCCCCCGTCCCCCCGTTCTGAATGGATATCCCGGCTCCCGCACCGATATATAAGGCCGAACCGAGGGCTACCTTCTCCATGCGATGTCCTGCCCGAATCTCCCCACAGCCGTGGATGCAGATCACCAGACTTGGCCCATCCATCGGATAGAATTGTACCTCCGCGTCTGGCGAGAACAGGTCCGTTTTCGTGACGTCAAATTCCTCCGCGGCGGATTGGTACAGCACTGAGGATACCGCACCCTTGGCAGACCGCACGTAAGGATTTACTGGGAACACTCTAGGCTTCAACGGGGCCCGGTAAGAATACGAGAGCATCGGAATGAACGTATGAAGGTCCTTCGTCTTGTTAGTGAATCCGCCACGGACCGTATTCGCGGATGAGGCCATACATTCAACGACGTCTAAAGGGCGGCGATGGGGGAAGTCCCTTACATGTTAGCACATTTAGGGTATAATTGTGAGGGGCGTAATCAACAAGCACGAGAATGACATACCGCCACTCAGATATGCGTGTGGCTCTCCAGGCGGCACGAATACTGCTTCACCAGGCGTCAGGGAGACGTAATTCATGAAGAAGACCGCAAAGAGGCCCACGTCCTCGGGGTATTGTTGATGAAGGCGAGCGATCAAAGCAGTGGAGACTTGCAGACCAGGGGCAATGCACCTGTCGTCATGATCCCCGCGAGGTATGAGACTCATAAGTTCCCTTGTGCATGCGATGATTTGCTCCCGAGGCGAATGAAGCAATGCCTCCCAAGTCCGCCTGAGAGCAGATTCCTCTTTAGCTGGATCTCTCTGATCTTGACTTGCGAGGATTATGCACTCGTCTGCTGTCATACCTACAATACGGCGCAAGGGAGCAATATGGATCAGAAACAGTGCAATCTCTTGAAGAGGACGAAAGCCACACAGAGCCTCGAAGGGTGTTATCGCGACGGCCATTTCTGGCTTGTGGTTTGCATCTGTGTTTTTGAGTCAGCAAAGGTAGTCTCCCAAGAGGATGCGAGAAGAGTAAACGGAAATGAGCATGGTTGCTCACCTGGATAGGTGACTGGGTCGCATTTATGAAGCTGTTGAGCAAGCTGTTTATCTGGGTGTGCCTGGATGCAGATGGCTTTCCCAATTGACAGAACCTTCAACATGAATGGCAGTTCAACAGTCTCCCGCAATGAGATCCCTGTTCGAACATCCTGGGAGGATAGGAGAGTATGAGTCCCCATCCAGAGTTCTGCATACGGTATATCTTGGTCAATCTTATGCTCTTTGTTTCCAGCCGCAGAGAGTCGGGCGACTAATGATCTCGTTCCAATCTTGCCTAATGGTACGAAGAGTCAGTAGACTATAAACCATAAACTACGGTTCTCACAGAGCATGGCCTACCCCAGTCATTATTCGTAACACCTACAAAGATGACGAGAGTCAGGATATTGTAGCAGACCAGCAGTTGACTCGGAGAAGGTTCATTCCACTAACCGCATTGTAGCTGTATCAGGGAATTTGCGTGGTCTTGGGCTGTCTGCATGGTCCCTTACAAAGTGATTCTCAGTCGACGCAAAATTGACAAAATACTGTCACGGGTAATTATATGAAATCTAAATCTGCTTCTCGACTATGATATTATCACATTACTCTGCTCTTGTGTCTTGCTCTGGCGGCTCGGATATCGATCCATGGCTCACCATCTCATGCTAGCTGATGCGACCTGTGTGACGTGTCCCACCCAGACCGCTGGAGAGATCCATTTCAAGGGATGTCGATGAGAGGTCGGGACCAATCTATTTGCACTCAAGAGTTTGGTCTCTGCCAATGAAGAGGCAGTCTTCAGCTATCCAGCCTCGATTGCTGCCCCCTGCTCATGCAGGATGTATGTGACCATATAAACTTCTGTCTTCGCTACACAGGAATTGAGGAGCTCGCGTCTTATGACTCGACAATACCGTGAGATATTATTCACAACACCAGACTTAGCGGCATATGTGGGCGTCGGTGCCAGCAATTCATGCAGATAAGCTGGGGACAGCCAATATCGGTGTGTGGTGTATGTGCAACGTACCACTAAGAAGACTTGTCGGCGTCTACGGAGTACATTATATCCCCATCTTAGGCGCCCTTTTTCCCATGACCTGCACGACCTGAATGGGAAATACACGTTTTTTGATTCACCATGCACATCTGTCAGGCCAGCGACTCCGTGGACGTCGAAAGTCTCGTGGTAGCGGGAGACCTGATACTAGATCAGTATATCTCTGGCACCGTTCGTCGAAATGCCCCAGAGGCCGACGTACCTGTCGTGGAGCAGGAAGAAACAGAATACTTCCCCGGCGGAGCGGCAAACGTCGCGATGAATCTTGCCGCACTGGGTACGGCAGTTGTCCTGGTCGGAGCTGTCGGGGACGACGAAGAGGGAAAACGCCTGCTTTCCCTTTTGACCAGCGCAAATGTGGATGTCTCCGGAGTCCAGGTCATCGCCGACAGGCCAACCTGCCGCAAGACCCGCATCATCGGCAATGGAAGACACCTCGTCCGTCTGGACAGAGAAGTTGTGATTCCCATAGGGGAAGAGCAACAACGAGCCGCTCTGGATTCCGTTCGTCGGTATTTGCCCCGTGCACGGGGTATGGTCTGCTCGGACTATAACAAAGGGTTCCTATGCGAGTCCGTTCTAAGATCTCTGCTCCATGAGGCTGTCTCCCTGGACAGGAAGGTCATCGTGGATCCGAAGATTGGCGATTGCAGCCGGTATGCGGGGGCAACAGTCCTCATGCCCAACCTGAACGAGCTGCGGCTGCTATCCGGGCTTCCTGTCGTTTCCCCCACCGATATTGATGCTGCTGCACGGGCTGTTCTGACCAAGGCTCACCCGGAAGCTTTGCTGGTCACTCGTGGCGCTGATGGGATAGTCCTCTATGAATCGAACGGGAAGTCGTCCGCAATCCCAGGCAAAGCTTCTACCGCACGCGATGTTAGTGGCGCAGGAGACAGTTGCGCCGCTGCATTCGCCTGGGCCTATCTCGTGTGCGGGCAATCCTTGGAAGCAGCTGCCGAACTGGCAAATAATGCAGGTAGCATCGCAGTGACGAGGCTGGGGACCACTATCGTCGCAAAGAGCGAGCTGCTAGAGGCACCCTGCAGCGGAGGGTCGTGGAAGCCAGAGGAGGCGCTACAGAACGGGCGTAAGATTGTGAGTCTCGATGAATGTCTCACTAGTCTCAACACGACCCGTGGTGACGGCCAGATTGTATTCACAAACGGCTGCTTTGACCTACTCCACGCAGGACATATCGAATATCTCCAGAAAGCCAAGGCCTTGGGAAAGTTGCTGGTAGTGGGACTCAACTCGGACGCGTCCGTAAGACGATCGAAAGGACACAAGCGACCTATTGCACCCCTCTCCCAGCGAGCTGCGATGCTGGCCGCACTGAGTTGCGTTGATTATGTCGTTCAGTTTGAGGACGACACTCCTTTGTCTCTCATTGAGACAATTCGACCCGATATTCTCGTCAAAGGAAATGACTATTTGCCCCATCAGGTTGTAGGACGCGACGCTGTCCTGGAAACTGGGGGGAGACTGGAACTGGTACCTTTCAGCACACAGGTGTCCACTTCAGCTGTGATTCAGAAAATAGTCGACCGCTACCGAGAAGACTAAAAATAGTGGGTGGATTTGAAGGTGGCACTTTGATCTACCTCTCATGTTCTCGTAAGCTGTCACGCCTCTCTTCGTGGATGCAGCCACAGGTATCTTCCCCAGGCAGATATCAAACCGCCAATAATGGGACTTATACTTTATTCTGGATAGTATTCATAGACTCCCTTCACGGGACTCACGGTCCAGGCAGTGCTTTTGGGCTGTTTCTGCGCCGTAGACAATCTATTGAGGTGGAAAATGGTAAGAGCGCGACCTCTTTTGGGCGGTTTGGCAATTGTAGTCTATTGAGTGGTCACTGAAAACTCGATGAGACAACTTCATCCATCGAAAAAGTGGCAATGAACATGACGAGAGCGATCTACCCGTCAAGTGTCTATCTAAGGGTAGTCTTGCGCCAGCGTGGAGGGATGATATAAGAAAGGGTATAGATCAGAAAGAGAACAGTAGTTGGCAGATAAGCAAAGCATCTCGAAAGGATTTCGTCAAAAAATTCAGAACGGTCATTTGGAATCCCACATGATTTCGTTCAATTTCAAGAGTGCATCGGCGCTGGCTTTCTTCGCAGCCATGAAATCTTCCCGATTATCAGCCCCGCGAGGTCCTCTGAGAATTTCTGAGAAACAAAGGTCAATAAGGACCTTGAGCTCATCATAGGTGAACGGTTCGCCATTGCCTGCAGCCAATGCCTTTTCGCCCTGCGTAGCGAACAGCTCCTTTTCGTCTTTGGCGTACTCCAATGTTTTTTCCGCACCATCCAGGAACCAGTCAAGGAATTTGGCACTACGCGGAAGTGCAACGACCTGGTGAGGATGCTCTGGTTCCTGTGTTGTGGGATCCTGGGCTTGTTCTGTTGTCGGGTCAATAACTATATTCTTGAGGTTCTGCTGTAAAACGAGGACGTCAAGTTGCAGTCGCAAGGCTCCATTCTCATTCATGGCTCCAATGTGACGTGCAGATGAGACGAATGCTTGATCAATAAATCGAGCAAGACCCGAGGTGATGAACCAATGTTCAGCGGGGCCGAGATATGACAAAATGTTCGTATCAAAGGCGATTAAGTCATTATTCAGCTCGAGGATCGTGGGAGACGCGGCTGTCGGCTGATGTACAAGGATATGCCACCAATTCATGTTCGAATTCGGTGATGGTGTGGTGGGTTCCGAATTGCGGTTGCTGGGGGGGTTGGGGCCAGCCATTGTCCGAGTCAGCATGTGAATGACACCGCATCGAATATCAATGTGAAGAGCAAAGAGCGCGGTCGAGGCCAGATTACACAGCGACTGAAGAGTGTTATCGAACGCGTTGGCCGTTTCATGATTCAGCGGCAGATACACTGCCTGACTTATGCTGTCACGCTTCGATCTCATGGCTCCAATCAGGGTCCACCGACGTGGAGGTGCTCGAGTCTCAGACTGTGGCTGCCGCGACTCTGAGGGTGTGATCCGGCGCAGCTTGGTAAGGTGACTTGCAAGCCATTGCTGAAAAAGCATCAGCCCGGTCTCAAAAGGTAATGGATCAGACTGAGCTTGGGACAAATATTACCATGCTATTGTAAAGAAGCGACAGTGCTACCACTGTTTTGGGATCGGATATAATGTCGTACGGCTCTAATGACACCTCGTCTGTGCGTTTGAGCAGAAGATCAATTTCCTAGGATAATCAGCAGCTGATCCAACGTTCGAAGATGGGCAGAAGAGGGGAAAGCATATACCTTATCGATCAGTTCCTTCTTAGTGTCTGCTGTCCCCTCCCAGAGTTCCCGAACTGTATCATGGATGTCACCAGATTCGGCAAACTCTGCTGCGGCCTTGAGGCGAACTTGACCGTGATTGCGAGGCGAGACTTTCGTGACAATAGCTGGAGAAATGTATGAGCCCCTGGACTATCAACTTGGAAGGTAGTGGTTCTTCCAACCTTTGTACCACCCACAGCATTTGTCATAGTAGGTCACAATCTGGGTGATTAGAAGCTGTGTGAATGCTTGATCGTGCGGAATGCTGGACAGCATTTTACTGAACTCCCAAATAATTGACATGAATTTGACCGTTCCCTGTTGTACTTGAGATTAGGGAGGATCAAAATTAATTGTATGAAGACGCCAGGTACTTGCCTTGAAAACTGGTCGAGGGGAGGACATTGACCATTGAGGGTCTTCCGTGAACGCATCTGGTGCGATGAAACTAAGAGTACAGAGATCCGTGACTGTCTCGTCCAGTTGGGGAAGGAAGACGTTGACGAGGAAGTCATCCAGAAAGGACGTCAAAGTGCTCAGAGCAATGTCCGCATCCACAGGCACTATGTCCTTCAATCGTTGTATGAAGGATAACGAAGGCGGAAGAAGAAGACTCATATTGAACACGCTGGGTTCAATGAGTATCTTATGACCGGTTCCTGAATTCCCTTGCCCGTCTCGTGAACTGTCCGTCGTTGTGAATTTCTGCCTGGTTTTCGACACTAAACCAGGAACCGAGGTTTTGAGGATCTCATCCAACTCGTCTTGCTCCGCTTGCATTTCCGTGCTTTGCTCTGTTTCGGAGAGTTTAAACAATTTCTGCAAAGTGTCAACCAGTTTCAGCCTTGGCTAAACGTGTCCTAAGCAGACGCACCTTGTTCTTATCCCTGTGGCCAGAGTAGATATGACGTTTGGCATCGGCTCCTTCTTCCCTCAATCGGAAGGAGGACTCTCCATCGGTGGCCAAGTAATCGTGCAATAGGGAACGAATCTATAGAAATTGTGAGCTAGACGGCATTAAGAGGGCGTAAGCCGAATCCAGAAAGACCACCAACCTCACTCTGATAGAGCTTCCACAACTCTTTGAACCCACCTGTGAGTGAACTGTTCTTGGGAATACCCTCGCGCTCCACAATTCCAGCAATGGCGTCGTGGAGGACACGATGACCTTCGGCAATAGCTTCAAACTTGGCATATAGTGTCCACAAAAACTCTGTCAAGACATGTCCCCGTTTCTCAATGGCCTCTGTTGGCAGACCAGTCTTGCTATCCTGAGATGCGAGGCCCCGGGCCAAATTAGAATGACGCGCGTCGACTTCTGCATTCGTCTTATCGACTACGGCAAATAGCTCAACTGGAAGTCGTTGTTCGATGCGGTCAACCGCTATGTCCAAATGGCCCATTTTGTTCAGCGCCTCAATTAATAGTCGGATATAGTAAAATGTGTCAGCCTCCGGATTTCGAGAGGCGTCCTCCACCAGGGGCGTGGAAGCGTCCAGCTTCCCAAGAAAGGCGTAGACGGGTTTTTCCCAGGTTGCTACTCCAGTCCAGCTGGAGGCGTTTGCGGTGCCAACTTCTCCCTCCGGCGCTGGCGGTTTCCACCGACCGGAGCAATAGGGGGATTTGAGATATAAGTGATCATGCAACTCTTCTATCAGAATATCAGTCAGAGATATCTCTTGGTTCGCAAAGTAGGCGCGTATGTCCGCCAGAGCCCCGATATTCTCCAACTCGGAGCGCCGTAACAGTCGGAAGGCATCGTGAAGCACCTCGACGGCACCAAGAAATCGCTTGTCAGATATTCGGGACTCTAGCTTCTCAGGCAGAGACTGTATTTCCTGGATTTGACTGAAAAGCTGGATCAAGTCATCGTACTTCTGGGAAGACGTCGCTAGCCCCTTCAACTCGGGCTTCGTATAGAGTAGCCCAGCTTTCGCGCCCTCCAGCGCATGTTTTAGATTTCGCACTCGATTCTGCGAGCTTTGTATATTGGACTGGATCTTATGATATGTACCAATGGAACTGTTGAATCCCTGGTGATGCTCTGGTCAAATGTTCAGCATTGGTTTGACAAGGATCTGACGGGATGACCGACCATTGACGACAGACTTCAAAGTATTCTGAATCTGCTGGTTCATATTGAGGAAATCAGGTTCGCGATCCGCTTTGCCCAATGTACTTGTGTCCATCAACTGCAATGCCACCTGCACCGGTACACAATCGTCCGAGGCCACGAAGCCCCAGTCCCGTTGGATCGCCTGAAGAATATCTGAAAAACATCAACCATCCAGATCCACCATGCTGACAAGTCTCATTCATTGGAGTTGGTAAAAGAACAAAGATGAATGGGCCAGCAAACCTTCAATAGCTTGAGACCCCCCGCCACTGCTGACGGCATTGGGTCCCTCAGGACCACTCCTCTCCCTGCTGCTGCTGCTGGCCACCCAGCTAGTTTCTCCCCGTGTCCGACCATCCCGCGAGCTCTGCAGCCTCCTTTCCGAGTCTGCATCCCGTGTGCGTGATCGCGACGAGGAGTTCTGGCGGTCTCCGTTCCATCTCTCCCGGCGTCGCTCCGGCGAGGCCGAAGGTGAAGGTTCTTGCGAGGACTCGTTATGGAAACCACCATACCCACCCGGACGGCGCTCTCTCCCCCCTGAGTGCCCATTGACAGCTAAGTTGCTGTTGCTGCTCCCGTATCCGCCATCACCCCGATCGTGTCGATTGCTTTCGGAATATCCGTATCCGTCGGCGTAACCGTTTCTGCCGTTCATACCAGATCTGGGGGATAATAACAATGCTAATTTCTGAGAGAGGGCGGATCAATGAGGCGATGACAAGGATAAATACGGCGGAGGAGCTGTCGATCTTGGGCTCTCGATTGCTGGCGCTGTCGCAGTGTATCAAACGGTGGGGAACGCGGTCATGATCGTTCTTAAGGCTGCTAATTGGAATCTATAAGAGGGACATGAAAAAATATCCAGCAACGGAAGTCAAGAGGTTATAGTTCAGACGATCGCGACAAAACAATGCGGTACGGATTGTCTGTTGAACAGGTCCAAGGTTGAAGTGTCCGCAGCTCGCAAGTCGCAACCGCCTGATTTCCCCACACAAGCTTCCCGGCGTCGGCAAGCCACGTCTGGGAATGGTTACGTCCTACCACCGGAATGGATATCCTACGTTCATCACTATAATGACTGATAGACACTAAAGATGTAGCTCTGTGTGATCTCCAGAATCAATTCTAGAATACGCTATTGACTGCTATTCA